TTTTGATATCAAAAAAGTTCTCTTCTACAATTTTTTGATGAAAAGGCACAGCGGCAATGATGTTTTTTGTCATTAACTGATAGTTACAGGTGGATAGCCCCCGTCAATAATAAGAATAATTTGTCAAACTGTGATTTACTTTGAATTTCCTTTCAAGAATTTGCGGATATGCGATTAGTTCAGGGGAAATGCTACAGTAAGATAGCAGAACCTCAAAGAACTCAAGCCAACAAAAGGCGAGGAGAGTGGTTCCAGGAAGATAGTGGACGATAGATGTTCGGGTTTCAAGCACAGAGAAACGTATTGGACATAACCGAATCAGGGCCTTCCAGGGGCACTCAGAGCACAATAACTGACACTTTCCCAAGCACCAAATAAATACCAAGGGCTACATTCCACAAGGAGATACAAATGGAGCAGGAGTTAATTAACTGAATACGAGAAGCTGCTTGATAAAAGTGGATAATAAGGAGATTACACAGGTACTAGCTTGTTTGAAGTTAACCATTCAAATGTTTTGTCGATGAATGTTTAAGTGGACTGTATTTTTGTATTATTTCCTTCTTCGTGCGTGTCCCTATCTGAGATGGCACGCCCAACACCGACTTAAGTATATGAATGCATCCAACCGACGAATTAAAACCCGATTGTCGGCAAAATTAAAATGTATATTGCTCAGAACGTTATTTATTTCACGTCTTGTTTTTTTTATTGCCTTAGTTACTAGAAACAAATACAACTTAAAATAAAAAACTAATTGTCACATCGCCCCCTAGACTAACTTATGTAGTTGGCAGGAGAGACAAATAGATCTTATTTAATCATTTCCCAACATTCTTCCCCCCTTGAAGTAGCAGCTTCAACCGCTTTGAGAATCTGATTCTAACGGTAGAGGACTGACGTTAGTTGCTGACCTTGTAAATATTCCATTTTTAGCTTTAATTTTGATCACTCTTACTGTTCCATCAGACCCTGGCATGACCTGAACAATTCGACCCAATGACCAGTGTAGTGGCGGAACGTTATCTTCTTTCAGAAGCACCATATCGTTCTCTTTTAAAGTTTTACCATGCTTGAACCACTTTGGTCTGCTTTGCAATCTAGTTAAATATTCAGTTGATCATCGCTTCCAAAAGTTTTGCTTAATTTTATTACAAAGTTGAAAAAAACTTTGTTTATTTTCAGGTACATTAAACACATCTGTTTCCGGTAATGCTGTCAATGTCTCACCTATCAAAAAGTGTGATGGTGTTAAGCAATTAAGATCTGAAGGATCCGATGAAATTGGACTTAAAGGCTTTGAATTTAAAATGGCTTCAATTTGTGCCAACACAGTAGTTAATCAAACGTCAAAGTTAAATTACCAACTATTCTTTTTAAATGAAACTTTGTGGACTTTATCCCTGCTTCCCATAAGCCACCCCAATAAGGACTAACTGGTGGTATGAAACACCACTGAATTTTCCTATTGACCAATTCCTCATGAATCTCTGACAAATTCTTTTGAATTTTGAAAAATAAATAAACGTTTTTAAGTGCATTATTGGCACCCTGAAAATTAGTTGCATTATCACTATAAATAGTATGTGGACACCCTCTCCGT